TCCAAGTACTACTTTTATCTTCCTTTATAAGTACAACCAGTAGAGCAACAGTCTCATCAGAGACTTCTGGTTAGCCATAAACTGGCAAATGCTCTTAAATTATGCGAAATCATGTAAAATGGTAAGTGTTTCCAATAAAGTCTATACCTTAAGGTTCATGTGTCAAATTTTTGAGTTTACGATAGAAGGATATAATTCTTAAAATACTATGTCAAGATAAAGATTAATTGTAATCAGGAGACAATGTTCGTTGTCACTTACCCTGTGGATTTCCCCGGACAGAATACGTTAGCTGTTCAGAGGAGGCCTTCACGCCTTGGAAAAAAAGGTGTAGATGATAGATATTGTATGCGGTCGGTTCAAAATTATATAGGTGAACTTTTATCTCCTCAGTGTATGCACAATAATGCATATTTGTTTGTCTTTTTTAAGTTGCATTTGCGAAGAAGTCTGAAAAGCTAAATAAAGTATAGCTGTAACGAGAGTAAAGGAATTTTTAAAAGGTTTTTTTCTTTAAATCTGTATCTTGTGAATGCACACTATAATTTCTATTTATTGTGCTTGTTCAGACATGTCATAAAAAGCACAATGAATAGAAATTGTAGTATGCATTCACTTCTTCACAAATGAAACTTTTTTTTGGAAAAAAAAATGTATTTTGTGCATACACTGAAGAGGGAAAAAAAGTCTGAGGTATTTATCACAATTTTCAGGACTAAAAAAAAAATCAGTTTCAATCTACTGTTATCTGTCTGTTCAACGTTACGTCAGTGTAAATAGGGGACGTAAAAAATGTTTGTTAATGTTACGAAGCGTCAAAAAAGCTGATCATGTTAAGCTAAACTTAATAAATTTAAAATTTATTTTAAAATGTTATAAACATCGACTCCGGATCGCTGTGTATGAAATTGATCAACTCGATATATTTCTGTAGAGAGTCAGAAACAAACCTAATAAGTCATACTTATATATTATTTTTCTTAGAACACATTTTTTATACAGTTTGCGACATTCCTGATATCAGATTATAAACAGTCAAATGACAGATACGGTTCTAGCATTCTACTTCAAGGGTAAACTGTTATTTTCATTGTATAATATTCAGCAGCAAAACTAGACTCTGACACACCAGGTCTAGATAACAAAAAAATCTGTAATTTGCGAATGAGTAGACGCTGCATACTTTAGCCAGTGGTGTCATATATATATATATATATATATATATATATATATATATATATATATATATATATATATATATATATATATATATATATATATATATATATATATATATATATATATATATATATATATATATATATATATATATATATATATCAAAAAAAAAATCACGAAATATTTACTGCAAGCGCTTTCGCCATGTTATAGGCTCTTCAGGCAGTTATAACTGCCCGAAGAGCGTAACATGGCGAAAGCGCTTGCAGTAAATATTTTGTGATTTTTTTTTTTTTAATTTTTTTATTTTTTTTTTTTTAATTTTTATTTTAATGTACCCAACAAAACTGTACCGGTTCTTCATTTTGTCTCCAAATTATATATACATATACATATATATATATATATATATATATATATATATATATATATATATATATATATATATATATATATATATATATATATATATATCGTTCCCAGAAATTATTGAGAATATTTTTTGTGATAAATTTCTTTTCAAAATATTTTAAAAATAAGGTATTTAGAGTTTGAATTCAGTTTTTTATCAAATGAAAATACTACGTTCTTGCTTTATATGCAGTTCTCATGTTTTACTTACATGTACCGTTTTCTTTGCAATTCCTTACTTATACATAGCTTGAATAGGTCGAGAGTTCAACCCCGGGCTGGGGCGGAAGTGGGTATCCTTATGAAAAGTGAATTTCTTTGTGCTTTCTATATTAATATTTCTTCACTTAGGGCAGTTATGTTAGTTTAAGAGTTGTTGTAAAATGTGCTTTATAAATAAAAATTAATTTTATTACAACGTATATTGGTAACGATCCTCTGATAAAACTAATGTCCAAAATAACTGTATCTCACTTCCATTCTCAATGACCGTGTAGTGTAGAGCAGCGCCGCGAAAATTCCATCGGCATCGAAAGCAAGTTTTTTGATTTGCCGAGATAGCCGAGCGGTCTAGCGCGCTGTTCCTGTACTGCTAGGAGACAGATTCCGTAGGTCGAGAGTTCAACCCCGGGCTGGGGCGGAAGTGGGTATCCTTATAAAAAGTGAATTTCTTTGTGCTTTGTATATATATATATATATATATATATATATATATATATCGACCGATCCATAAATTTCTGGACGAAAGGAGAGAAATGAAGTGATTAATATATAAGTTTTCAGGAAGTATTTACCTGAGCCTGAGAGCTTCAAGGAAATTTTAAAGGTTCAAAGCTGTATGAGTGATAGTCTTCCACTTCCTTTAAACCAGTGAGTGTGTAATAGGATCAAATTGATGGATGACTAATTTCAATTTTGGAAGTGATAATTATATGACTTTATTTTCAATGAAGACGTCAGGATGATGTATAACGTTTTTTTTTCCTTTTTTTTTTTTGCCAAAGAAGTTGTTTGAGTGATATAGGTTGTTCACCAAAGAGCTAAGAATAGTATTGCTTTGATCAGCAAAAGACTACTCAGAAAGATATAGATTTGTTCAGCTAAGAACATGTCAGATCATACAGTGTTTTCATCCAAATTGTTTACCAAAGAAATTGTCAGAGTGATATATTTTTTTTCATCAAAAACTCTGTCAGATTGTTTTAGCTGTGCTACAAAGAAGTTGTAAGAATTTGTTCAACAAAGAATTTGCTACACGGCCGTAGGAACCGGGGGGGAGGGAGCGTGCCCCCCCCCCAATAATTCTGCCTATATATAGTTTACTATAGAAAACTTAGCTATTATATGCTTGTGCCCCCTCAATAAAAACGTCTGATGACCTTTTTTTTTTGCTTGTCAAGGAATTTTTGGTAGTTGATAGCGCCCCCTCGACTGAAAATGTATATCTGTCCCCCCCCCCCCCAAACTGAAATTGCTTCCTACGGGCCTGTGCTATAATGATATAGTATGTTCTTCAAAGAAGTTGACAGAATTATATAGTTTTTTTCATAGAATTTGTCAGAATTATATAGCTTTTTATAGCTTTGTTCTTCAAATAACTTGTCAGAATTATATAGATTTGTTCAACTGTTGTCAGAGTGAAATTGCTTTGTTATCAAAGAATCCGTATGAATAAATCCAGTAAGTTGTCAAATCGATGTGTTTTTCTTCACAAAGGAACTTGTCAAAATCATCAAAGAAGTTGTTATTGTTATGTATCTTTGTTCATCGAAGAAGTTGCATGAATGATATTTATAATATTTATTATATTGAAATTATAATCTTCGATTTTTAACCAATATTCTATTGTTCTGCATACCGTCCACCATCTGCCACTTCCTACTGGGTCGAAGAACAAGAAAGATAAAGTGTTACTCCCGCTTTTAATATTGACCTGTTTTAGATCACTCTTAGATCAGATCAAAACTGTAAAGAAGAGTAATGTTTTGAAAGTTCAAAGAAATTTCTTTTCTTATATATATATATATAGAGAGAGAGAGAGAGCGAGAGTATCTATATTGTGTGATTTGATATTTGCTTTATCTTACGAGTTGAAATAGTGTGTATTAGCGAGGCTTGCCGTGCGAACATACACCATTTCAAAGATGTGGAGAAGGCAAACATTAAATCACACAATTATAAATGTTCTATTTATCTCTTATGATTTCCGTTTTTAACAATACTTTTGAGATAACCCCTCTAAAAATTTCTCCCCAAATCGATGACGTGTAAATTGATGACGTCGCACTGTTGACGTTGAATGCCGAAAGATACAAAATATGATATCTTGGAATGATATCTGCTGCGTCTTTTAAAACATATGTGACAATCTGTTGGAGATTCATTTTAATACAAACTTTTAACTGGAAGCTGAACAGTGTTGTAAGGACCGGGGAATCATGAATTCTTCTCTGAAATCATTCTGTGTACGGCGACTGTGCTAGCTAGGCTAACGTTACTTGTAGATCCATGGTAAGTTATAAAGCATAATGTAAGAAAGCATTTTTGAAAGGGGCTAGACTTCCCTGCATGATCAAATGAATCTTGCACAAACAACTTCACTGCTAGGCCTAACGTTGCCTACGAGAACGATTGGAGGGTGGGGGGTGTAACAACCGTTATTGCAGTAGCCAGTAATTTTTATTGAGGTTAAATGAAAATTTTTGCTCATCAGAATTCATTTGAAAACGCAAGAATTTTCACAAATAAAAGTACATCTTGAAGCGAGGGGTTGTGTCAAAACCGGAAGTGTTATTGATAAAGCATACCCTTGGATAAAGCATAGGTTTATCTTATGGGTTTAATCCACCACAAGTTATATATATATATATATATATATATATATATATATATATATATATATATATATATATATATATATATATATACTTTTATGTACAATTCTTAATTATCTCCTATTGAAAGAAGGTATGGACCTTTACGAGGGTTGATCCAAAAGTAATGTCACAACTGCTATAAAATCTTTAATCATCGAATTTTTGCATACTAATTTCCCTGCCTATCTTTTTGCATACTAATTTCCCTGCCTATCTTTTTGCATACTAATTTCCCTGCCTATCTTTTTGCATACTAATTTCCCTGCCTATCTTTTTGCATACTAATTTCCCTGCCTATCTTTAACTTTACATTAAAATTTCATTCAGATATATGCAGTGCTTTGTAAAATATTAAAATAAAAACAAGGTTGGGTTGTCGATCGCCGCACGGCAAGAAATTTACCGACGTCGTTATGACGTTACTTTTCGGCACAGTATAACGCAATACTGGTAAAAAGTTGTATATTAGAAATCGCTACTAGAGTAGGCAAAAATGTCTATCAAAAACGCCATGGCTCTTTCCTTGGGTTAACATCATAACTTTGAAGACAGTACACCTTGGTAATTTTCTAGTGTTAAAGGAGAATAAGTCTTGTTTTTCTTGTCAATGAAGTAAAGCGGGTCCTTGACCTTTTCCAGATCATAACCTTCCTCTACTAGCTCCACTTTCCGGTTCTTCATTGTTTGTGTGACAATGAACTCTGTCATAAAGCGGAGGAACAAAGGACGAGCGTAGCCCGGAAGTTCCTTCTCGCAGACTGAGTAAATCGTTCGCAGTTTGTCGGCTGTGATCTGATTCTCTTTCAATATAATGGCTGCCATACCAGCTCGTCCGTCTTCTCCTTCACATAAAAAATAAACATCAAATCATTAGTCTTGCCTTTAAAATATAAATGTAGCAAAAATAAGAAACAACTACAAGAAATCAATTTTCCTTCATACTTATTTAGTCATTCGATACGTCTTCAACTTTTTGCAGTTTCTTTGTCCGAGATTGTTTTCAATAAAAGGAGATTTTCTTTGTTTTCAATGCAAGGAGGTATTGTAGAAAACCGTTAATAAAACAATTCTGCTTAATAGAGCAAACATCATTAAGCAGTGCAATGAACCTTCTTTTTTTTTCAAAAAATAAAATCATTAAAGTATATGGAAATGAATCAAGAAATTATGAAAATGATTATCTAAATGTTTGAAATGACAAAAGAGGTAAGAGTTTAACATTAAATCTTCCATGAAGTACGTAATGTAACGAACAGCGATCAATCTCATAAATCCTGTAAACAGAACAAATTGTTAACAGGCAAAAACGTATTCCTGGAAACACCACAGTCGGGAACAGATGCCTAAGAAGAGTAAGCATCCTCTGTTGACCGGTCACATCCGGCAATGAAAGCAATTACCTTATAAAATGATATCATACACGACCCAACAATAGGTTGTATTAATGGACAAGGTCATTATAACGACAGTAGAATTTGCGAAAAGCTGACAGTTGTTGAAATCCTTGTAATATAAACTTATTTGTCAGTAGCTTGCCTACATTTAAACATTAAAAATACTCAGAGCTTGATTTTGCGTATCGAACCAGTTGGGAGATATAAACACCATTCGCAGGTGATAAGAGTGGCCCTCTCGACATAAATAAGGGAAGCTGACGATGCAAAAAACAGAATTCATCTCATTTGTCATACAGTTTAGTTATTAGCTGGCCATTATCGTCTTAAGTCAGTAAACCATTCAAAGATGAAACAGATGTGGCAGATTCTATCTTATCCTAAATTTTGAGTTCAGTGGGATAGATCAAGTCGATTATAAATGAAAGTAGGTATTGTTAATTGATAAAATGTCGTTGATATATCTTCTTTTTCTCATGTACATGTAGAAGTTTATGAATAAATTCTACATCATAGGAATAGAAAAACCGGTCGGCTAATAAAGGGCACAGTAAGTGCCCTTCAGAAATTTCTAACAGATTGTTGGAAGTCCTGATCTCCAAACCTTTATATTGTAAATGCGGAGCTCCAGCATCATTATAATGTCAACTTCAGAGTACTCGTATGTACAATCAGAATGATTTTTAACAAATATATGAATATTTTTTAACAAATAGATGACTAATCAGTCGGGGGTTGGGGTTGGGGGTTGAAATTTTATAAAGATGGTGCTGGACCGCATTTAATTTATTCGAAACCTTTGTCCTGATTTTCTCTTGTTGAGTGATCTCTTGGATTCTCTAGCATGAATGAGGTCACAAAGATTACATTCAATTCCATAGACAACGTTAGAAAAACTCAGATCTTCACAAGTTTTGGTACTAAAAGATTGTCCTGTGAAATTGCTATTAAAAGAATTTTGGTTAGTAAAATATTACAGGTTTTACAATTTTTTGTACATTTCGAAATGGAACACATAGGCTCCAATTTGAATCGTCATAAAAGTTAAACATCTCTGATGGAAAATTTACAATCTTTTATTCTGGTAAAGGTGTTGTCTGTTTCATACCAAACCCGGTTATCTGAACACTGTATGTAATGGCCGTCACACAGATTAAGATTTGTATTAAAATTAGGGATGGGAATTTGTAACCGGTTAATCGATTAATCGGTCGGAACGATGGTAATCGATTAGAAAATCTGCAATCGGTTAGTCGGAAAATTTAAGATATGTAAAATTGAACGCAATTTTCTTTTTTTTTTTTTTTCACTGTTATATATTTATTATTCATTACGTATTATTTCATCAAGTTACATGTACCTCGAACATGAACTTCTGAAACCCTAAAAATGATTGAATTTGACTGAAAGGTTCAATTTATTGGCAAAGACACGAGTTTTTGGGAAGACAGACTTTTCCTATTCTGGTGGCAATTTCTGAAACATTGACTTAAGTTTATTTGTTTTTTTTATATCACGAAAATGAAGCCTTATTTAGGTTCAATATTAAGGATATGTGATTACTCTTATCACTTAACGAGGTTCGTTCCTGAGTTTTTGAGCAGATTTTTGTCTTGACCTCTATTTAAAAAAAAATTCTGCATAATGTTTAGTTCTTATATCAAATTTGGATTCTACAATGCTTTTTAAACTATATTCAATTAAAACCCCATGATTAAATTCCATACCGAAATCATTAAGTGAGGAACTGTATTTTGTGGCGGAAGATTTTTGAGAAGAAAATGCTCAGTTTTTCTCTTTCAAAATAATTACAGTATTGTTAAGTTTGGAATCCTATTTTTACATGCAGTCTGCACAAAGAGTTATTTTGTGCACTGAAATGTTTTATGCTAGTCCTAAATGATATATTAAATTAACCGTCATGAATTCTATTGGACAAATATAGCAAATATATTGTGAATGTCCAGGGGGAAAAATAGCCCACTTTAGGCTAAAAAATTAACACTATTCAAGTTATATATAAAAATTAACATCACAAACCCCCACTTTTAATTTTCTTTTCTGAAAGAAACAGCACAATTTTAACCATTTTGCTTAAATTCAGAAAAATGTCATTACTTTTAAATGATTTTATTGCTTGTTAAATTTTCATTGCCAGAAAAAATGACATTCCTTGAGTGCAAAAAGGTCAAATAATTTACCATGCGAAGTAATTTGAAACTTTTTTTGTTGTCACAAATTTTAAAGAGTTCCCATAATTTATTTGGATAAAAAATATTAGAGGAAAAACTTTGAAACATTGATTTATGTGTTAGATGCAATTACAGTGCAAAAAGGTCATATTACAATCTCCATTGCGCCAAAAGAAGCACATTGACCCCCATTTTTGGTTTTGATTTTTGATTAAGCTATATGTATAAATATCAAAAATATACTTCATATAAAATTCTCAATACTTTTGATAACAGGATCCAACCTCCTTAAGCTGGAAAACACTATGTACTGTGCGCAGAACTATCTAGTTTATTGAGTATATATATACAGCTCAAAAACACTAGGACATACGCAAAGTACCTTACCTACTGATAATTTTTCAAGATATCCCTTTTTTTTTATTAAATATATATTCATTTGTATAATATTATATAATATACACAGACAATTTTTTTTTAAAAAGGAAATCTCTACATAAAAGTTGATAGTTCAGCGTTTTTACACATCTTATTAAGCTGATTTGGAGGTAATTATGGCTCTCCGGATTGAGATCGTGAGGTAATAATTGGTCGGTTTGTGAAGTATTAATTACTGTTTTTAAAAACATTATATTGGTACCCTGACTCTCCCGTAATACTTTTGATTTTTTGCCCATTATAGACATAGGAGAGTGATATCTTTTTATGCTGGGCGACGTGTCAGCCAGTGTGGAATAATATATCCTGGATAACCCTATTAATGGTTTATTATTGTACAGTATTGTTTGCAATGACAATTAATACATGTAAGTTCAAGTGACTAGGACGGGTTTCAGGCAAGATAGCGGTTACCAGCACAGATAAATAAAACCGAGAAGCTAGAAAATTGTACCTTAATTGCTGGTTTATTATGCCGATATATACATGATGGTTATAAGATAATAATGTTTGTAAATTTGTTGAAAATGAATCATTATTCTACGCCAAACCTTACAACTTTCACTGGTCAATATTTAGTACTCACCAGGAATTGACACACCAAAAACGTTGACGTCACGAATAAAGGGTATTCGGCTTATTATGTCAGCCACTTCTGTTGTCGAGACGTTCTCACTTTTCCATCTGGAAATTATTTAGAAAATATATCCAGAAATTCCTAGTAAAAATGCACCACTATTACTGTACGTGTACATAAATTGGCGTATTCAAAATTTAGCGCAATCACTGGGTATGGAGTTGTTAGCGTAATCATGAATTAGCGCTAAACATGTCCGTAGTGTGTATTGTAGTTATAGATGATTTCTTAGCGGTATTCATAAATTAGCGCATCGTTGTCTGCGTCAAAGCCGCTAAAATATGAATCCCTCTTTTTTGAGTAAACATACTGTAATTTTCGAAATCTCTTCAACAAATTTAAATATTCATAAGCATAGAATATAATTTTTTTAAAACAAAAATATTTTCTCGGACAACATACTTGTTTCCAGTTTTACTTTTTAAATTGTTTTGACCCATCATTTAAGTTATTAATCCTCGTCATCAGCAAATATAAAAAGTATATATCAAGTGTTTGAAATTCAGGTGGGTTTATTATCATCATCAGATAGACAAGCATTCACATTGGTAAACTGTCGGTGTTTGCTACACTAACCTAAATGTGTCCCCTGTTCTGTCTCTGAAATACACGTTGTAGTTTTCATCTAGGTACATCAAGTCACCAAACGAAAACCAGCAATCCCCTTCCTCGAACACGTTTCTGATTAGTTTCTTTTCATTCATTTCTTTCGAGCCTTTGTAAAATCCTGAATAGAATTCTTTGTTGATTCCAGATATGACAATACCTACTTCACCTGAAAGAGTTTCAGTACTCCTGAATTTGAATCAACCACAGCTAAATGTCACATGTATCAGGGACGGATTTAGGATTTCATGGGGGGCAACTTTTTAAAAAATTAAATGACAACAGAAATCATGAGCGGACTCGGGTATTTTTCCTCGGAGTTGAATATCTATTCAAAGAATAATTTCAAAATTGGAAATATACTGACAAGCCAAAAAGAAGTCAAAAGTGCCCAAACACGAAAAAAATCCTATTTCATGAAAGGGGTGTGTGTCTCTTTTAACCTTTTTTAAAAATACTTTTTATGGAGAATCATACTTTTTGAAGTTAATACGAATGTAGTAGCATACGTATCATCAAGACTTAATTCTAGGTAGCTGGAAGCGCAACTGAGTTTTACCGTACATATATCAAATGTGATCTCAGGCTTATTGGAACTACAAATTAACAAACTTGGGACCAACGTTGAACTCTCCAAAAGCTTGGTATTAAACCGACATAATGCTAAGTCACAACTGCATTCCGATCAGAGTCTAGAATTCACAGACTGGTTCTCAGTGTGTACTTCTGTCGTAGAGTAGATTTCCCCCATATCCACCCCCGGAATCTGTACTCCAGAGTAGGACTTCCCCCAGAGGGCAAATCTCACACTGGAGCCAATTTTCCCCCTCTTTCTTTCTCAGAGTAGGATTTCAACTCTTTTATCAATGCTAAAATCATATCGACAATATTTGGCTAAAGTTAATATGAAAATCAACTGATTTTTCAACTGAATTATAAGACTCGTGTTTTCGACTCAAGAATTGTTCTTTAGTAGGAAATCTTAAAATATATAATTCAAATCATTGAGTCTCATCCCAAAATCTTTTAAACTCCTAAGATATTGCAAAATTAGTCATTCAAAAAAAAATCATAAGACTCGATGTCTCAACCCCTCTCTCGACCCAGCGGTACCTGTTTGTTCACGAATTTCAGAATGTGTGTCAGGCGACATTAAGTGATTTGATAATTTGATTGCCCTCTATTTATAGAGGCTTTTTATCGATGCTTTTTACAAAATATGTGTGAGAAAATTCTTTTTGATTATGATTATTTTGTGAAGTTTCGTTAAGATTGTCCATGAGAGCACCTGAAGGAAAATCAGAGTAAGGGAAACATGTAATAATGTACCCCCCATACATACGTACAGCCATGAAATTTTATTGGGGATGGGTGGGTTTGGAGGAAATCGCACTGTGTAAATATTACACAGAGTAGGATTTCCATCCTACAAATTGAATATGGTTTGGAATTTTATTACGGGAAATACTTACTCTACAGTCATATTTCCTAGGTTGGAATCCTACTCTAGAGTCTATTTTCTTGGGAGAAACCCTATCTAAAGTCAGTTTTCAGGGGGTGGGGAGAAGGGAAAGTCTACTCTACAAGACCGGTACACAGTCTTGAACAGCCTGGCGGTTATTAATTCATATACAAACCTGGTTTGATCATAATGCACCTTCCATTTTTATCTCTTATCGGTTCTTCGGTTCTGTTGTCGAATTTGATGAAGTTCATTTGAGAGTTTTTATTCCTGAATATCACTGCTTTCTGAAGACAAATATACAATTTATAAGGTTTGAAACGATTTCTGATCTTGGCTAAAATAACGTTAATTATAGTTATATAACTATTCTAAATACCATCAAAGGAGACATCCTTCCGACTGCACCAACTTTACCCGTGACATTGAAAAGACCCCCGGTTCCCTCTGACGCACTGAAAAATTCAATGATTCTTGGAATCTTGAATCTGGTTTTAAATTCCTCCCAAATGTCTATTCGAAGTCCATTTCCAACTGCCATACGCACATTATGAACACCATCAAGCTCATTCTGTTTCGAAACAAGAAATGTATGAAACTGTTTTTTTTTTTTTTTTTTTTTTTTTTTTTTTTTTTTTGCAGACACTGCAATAATTTTTTTTTGAAAATATACCTCCGGTACGCGAAGTAAATATCTGCATAATTCTCCAATATATTGTATAACTGTAACTTTATGTTTGCGCACATCTTCCCAGTAATGACGGGCGGAGAACTTTCGGCGTAGGACTATAGTGGCTCCTATTAAATATAAAACGTGACATGTAAGCAGATACTAAAATAATATTGTAGATCCCGAAATATATGCGATTAATAATTATCGTGTAATTCGCGAGAAGCACCGCTCGCGAAATAAAATTACCCGCTTTTATTTTTATTAAGCTGAAATGCATATAAACTCTCTATCTATCAAACGTTATTTTTCTCGCAATTTGACGTCTTAGGGCCATTTGGCGATATAAAGTTCTCGCGTAAAATAAAGATTCTACATGAAATTAGATAGTGACAACCTACAAACCCCTTTCAATTGTATTAAAAAGACATAATGCGAGGCTGACGCCGTGGTAAAGTGGCGATGCAGCATACACTATGTCGTTTTCACTGTAGTCAAAGGCCTGCCAGTACGCAGAGGCAATCACCGCTTTTGCATTATTCACTATTGCAGGTTTTGGTAGCCCTGCAAATGTTTGAATTTTATAATTTAAAATCCAAAAATTTGTGTGCATTATCATAGGAAGATAATTAAAATACCATATAAACGCACCTGTTGTACCGGAAGTATATATATAGAGGATGGGACTGCGCATGGTGGTTCCCTTTCGGTGAACTTTACAGAGAGGAACAGGAAGCGTCCGTAGAAGAACCTCATCCATTGAAAGAAGGTTCGAAGGAAGGTCGATTTGTCGTTTCCCCTGGACATATATCTTAATGTTAGGTATATCGTTCAAAATCTCTTCAATCGAACGTAAATGGTCATCACCTATTGTAAATTGAAACATACAATGTTAGAGATAACACAAAGCATAATGCCTTTAAAATTTAGGGATGGTAATTTGTAATCGGTTAACCGGTTACTCGGTCGGAACGATAGTATTTGGTTAAAAAAATCTGCAATAGCGATTGGTTATTAGGAAAAATTAATGTGTAAAGTTTAAATATAATCAGTCTGATTCCCCCCCCCCCCTTTCTCCTTTCATTCGAGTGAAAGGAGAAGGGGCTGGTTTTAATCAGACTGAAATATAATCATCTTGGAAAAGTAGATAAAAACCTGAGCCAATGATGAGCACTGGTGCCTCGCTGACTTTGATGGAGTGAATGAGTGAATGAGCCTTTAAGTGGTAGTTAATTAATGCTCCTATTAATCCTGCTTTCCACAACCCTACAATTAAAATTTGATTTTTTTAGTCAAATGCTTTTTATTTTGAAAATCAATATTCAGATCTATAATCACCTAGAAATGTCCATACAAATGCAGGTTCGTTTTCTATCATCATGGCGACTGGCGTATCTCGGGGAAGTTTCCATGATGCAGCAAGGTTTGCCACTTTATTGGCCATGGCGTCGACAAATTCATATGTATATTGTTTATCATCGAAAATTATAAATGTCTTTTTCGGTATGCGCACCACATCATCTTCAAACATATCCAAGACGGTCCGCATCTGGCTTATGTGTTGACCAATCTGTTTCATTGCTTTTATTAGTGCTTGAATTGTTATGACGTCATCGACGATCCACGGTACCCAGGACTTCCACGCCGCATAGCCTGCCCCCGCCAAACCGGAAGCGATGAGAATTGCTCTTTGTTGCTTTGACATCTAAATATAATTATCAGGATATATTTTTTAAAAAATAAAACAAATTAATACAATTTGCAATACTTTTAGAAATTTATATACAGTAAAGTGTCTGTTTTAATTTGAAGGGATGGAGGCTACTATATGCTGTTACACAAACACAGACACTTACACACATACAGGGATATCTATCTATCTATCTATCTATCTATCTATCTATCTATCTATCTATCTATATATGTGTGTGTGTGTGTGTGTGAGGGTGTGTGTGTGTGTGTGTGTGTTAATCTGTCTGTTTGTTTGTCCGCAAAACTTTAACCTTGCATATAACTTTTGAATGGCTGGTGCTAGGGCTTTCATACTTCGCATGTGTATTTCTGAAGACAAGACTTTCTTTTGGATACCAACATTTGTGACCTCTTGACCTTGGAGTCTGGCCTACTTTTGCAAAATTTTACCAAACTTTAACCTTGGTCAAAACTTTTGAACGATTGGTGCTAGGGCTTCTATATTTCATATGTGTAATCCATCTGACCAGACCTTTCTTGGGGGTGTCAATATTTTTTACTTTTTAACCTTGACATTTGAGTTAAACCTACATTTGAAAAACTTTAACCTTCGCCATAATTTCTGAACGGTTGGTTCTAGGGCTTTCATATTTAAATTATGTTTTCCTTGTGAGAAGACCTTTTCCTTGGTACCAATATTTTTTACCTGATGATCTTGACCTTGGAGTATGATTGATTTTTATTTTTGAAAATCTTTTAACATTCACCATATTTACTAAACAGTTGGTGCTAGGGATTTCTTATTTCACATATGTATTCCTTGTGATAAGACCTTTCTTTGTGTACCAACAGTTTTTGATCTCTCAATCTTTACCTTGCAATTTGACCTACATTTGAAAAACTTTAGCCTTGGCCTTGAGCTGTCATACGGGGGCATCAGTGTTTCACAAACACATCTTATTTTTCCTGTCATCGAATCGTCGAAAATCTGATATCCATACGTTGAAAGCGACCTACTCCCCAAAGGGGCTTGTTTCTGTAATATTCTTTTAACCCAGAGTATAATAATAACACGATGTATCTAAGGCCACATAAATTTAAACTTTAGATTTTTATCCTAATTTGTTTAAAAATCGGGGCTGGTGGGCGGATTCTATTTTCATTTTTTTTTATTAGTGAAAATATATGAATTTACAAGTGCACACGTACGCCCATGAAAGAGACGCGGCTCCAAATAATTACAGGCTGTTGCTGTACGTGGTAGTCACGACTTCTCATCGGCCTTTTTCCAAATACCTTTTAGTTTGACCAACAAATTCTTTTGTTTTATGTGAAAATATCAAAGATTTCCACTGTCGTTTCATATGTACATCCAATTTTTTTTTTTTTGGGGGGGGGGGGGTAACGTTTAAGATTGTCATTTTGCTAAAAAGTGTGTCTAAAATATTCTTTTGAATAACCGATGTTGAACAGTTTGAAGATTTCTCAGTTCCTTAGCATTTTTATTCTGTTAAATCTGAAGACGATCTTTTTTAGATACAAAATAACAAAAATTGTCAATTGTTAACGAGATGTTGAAATCGCTTTAAGAAAATGCTGATGGTATCTACATTTAACAAAAATTAATATTTCTTTTAATTTTGCTTTTTATGTCCTCTCTTTACTGACATATTATTTTTACATATAAACTGCTTTTCTTGCTGATTTTTCTCTATTCTCCACATGGTTCTTAAATAGCGCCGCGTGACTTTTAATACAAACGAGGAATAACTCTTGAATGGGTAAAATGCCATTGTTATAGCACAGTTAGATAATCTTTCTTTTAAGTTTAATGGGGAATTTTTTTATAAGTACGATAAATAACTCGATAATGATACGTAGTTTAGAGAAAACATTCCCCTCCTGGACCCTCGGAGGGGAATGTTTTCTCTAAACTATTCAACACTATCTCGTACATTAGGGTCATATGTCAAATTTTTGTATAAATGCTACCTAAGGGACTCTCTATCTTAACGATGTTTGCGCCCCTGCCACCGATCAGTTGGTGGCGGAGGCTTTTTTTTTGTTTCCTTTAATTAACAATATTGTCTGTACATAAGTGCATGTATGTACTCTTATGATAAGGGTTCATGTAAATATATAGTCTATAATTAGGGGTCATGTCAATATTTTGAATTTACAATGAAGTCTCTACATTAGAATTTATGTGTCGAATTACAATAAAAGCATATGCATGCAATGTTAATTTGAAGAGTAATCATAATCAGATGATAATTGTCGTTGCCACTTACCTCGTGGCATACGTAAGTTGTAGTAGGCCTTCACGCCATAAAAAATGGTGGGTGACATATTTTTAATAGGTCAGTTCAAAAATATATAGGTGAACTTTTATCTCATATCATGCACCTAATGCATGAAATACATCATATCTTTTTTTCTTTTTTATTTGTGAAGTATCTGAGAAGCTTAATATTGTATAACTGTAGAAAAGTAAATGAACGAAGTATTTTTTAAGGTTTTTCAATCCTAATTTTACGATGGCACAGTAATTTCCTTACCTGTGCAGACAAAATGTTAACAACTAAAACATTTATCGCTTGCACAATTTCTGTCTGTTCTATATTACGTCAGTGTAAATAGGCCGGGGCATAACGATGCTTGTTCATGCTTGTTTATTATTATTATTAATATATTATAATAATTAATTATTAACATGCTTGTTAATTAAGGCAAAGTTCAGTTCTTTAAAAAGCATCCAAAATGAAAGCTGATCATGCTAAGCTTACCTTAATAAATCTAAAATATTCAAAATGCTATCTATACATGTATATATTTCATTAATTATTTTTTTCAGGATGCTTTTGAAACTACTTTTTTTTCAATTATTTGGTCCTCCTTTGCAAAGTTTTTTACTAAAATTTTCTTAAAAGTATAAAGTTATATTTCTTTGTTCATCAAAGAACTTGTCAGAATGATAAATGCAGCATTTTCATCCAAGAATTTATCAAAATGATACAGCTTTGTTCAATAAAGAAATTGTAAGATTTATATAGATTTGTTCGAAAATTATCAAAATGACTTAGTTATGTTCATAAAAGATTTAGCTTTGTTCTGCAAAGAATTTGTCATAATGATTTAGCTTTGTTCAGCAAAGAGCTCGACAGAAACAAATTAGTTTCAGGGTAATATTGCTTTGTTTATCATAGAATCCATACAAATAAATCCTGGAAGTTGTCAAGTTGACAAATTGACAAATTGATATGCTTTTCTCCACTACTGAAATTGTCAGGATCATATACCATTGTTTATCAAAAAAGTTGTCGGAGTTATGTAGCTTTGTTCATCAAAGAAGAGGTCTGAATATTATTTATTTGAATTACCATACTTAAACTGGATTCCTAAACTACATAAAAATCATTACAAAGATACCTAGCGTGTTTCAGTAAATGTTCTACCAAGCCTCTTTCTTTACCCTTCACTAAAATATTAACAGCAGTGAAGGAGAAACTTCAGGAGTACTGTACAACAATATTTCGAGAAGTGGTGTAAATCAGATATGGATACTTTAAACTCTAAAGAACAAGAACTTTTGAGAAAATTTGAAATCTCAAAATTTTACCAAAATCAATAACATCAAAACGCACGACTTTTCATCATTTTATACAACCATTCCGTCTAGGTCTAAGTCTAGGTTTTTTGACAGCTGCTTTTTCAATAAAAAAAAATGAACTTGTAAGTTTCCTTACCTTGACATCGGTCATTTGCAAAATTATTTTCTTTAAAAACATTCTGATTGTACACACAAGTACTCTGTAGTAGATATTAATAAGATACATCAAAACGCACGACTTTTCATCAATTTATACAACCATTCCTCACGATAAATTAAAGTCCAGGCTTTTTGACAACTGCTTTTTCAATAAAAAAAAAACTTCTGATTGTACGCACAAGTACTCTGTAGTAGATATTAAAAAGATGCTTGAGTTTCCGATTGACAATATCTATGACAATCTGTCTGAATTTCCATGGGTACCATTTGCGCTGCGTTATTAGCGGACCTACTTTTGTATTCATATTAAGCAGAATTTATTCAATAAAACTTATAATAAGAAGAAAACACTTGCTGTGGCCTTCCACTCAACATGTTGATACATCGACGACGTATTATCAATTAACAATAGTTACTTCCATTCATATGTCTACTTGATTTAACCTATTGAACTTGAAATAAAAGATACCACAGAGTCTTAACACATCTGTTTCATATTTGGATATTTTACTTGAAAAAAGCTAATGGTAACCTTACAACAAAATTTATGATAAACATGATGACTTTCCTTTCGTCCACTACCCCTACTTATGTAGAAATATACCATTATCACCTGTATATGGCGATTATATCTCCCAGTTGATTCGATACGCATGAGCATGCTCTATGTACGAACAACGTCTAAAACGAGACAGTTTCATTTAAAGTCGTCATTTCGCAAGTTCTATGGTCGATAAAAGAACCCTGTCAGCAAATACAACCTTTCATGTCTTCGAATGCTGACTGACGTTTTTCATACTAACTGTTAAGCCATTATTTAAACACTAAATTATTTACGGATTTTACCGTTTTTCCGATCAAGACAATGAGCACACGGCGAGTGTGACCAGTCGACAGGGGATGCTTACTCCTCCATGGTACCTGATTCCACCTCTGAGGTCCGTGTCTGCTCTGCTCCCAATTTGTATTATTTCAATGGACTTTTGAGCTTGATTACTGTTCTATCTCCATATTTCACGGTAGAGCAATTTTCACGTAACCAAACATTCTAATCTTGATCTACTTTACAATATAAGATAATTTCACTCAAATATAATGGAAAATGAAAACCTTCATATAAATAAAATCCTGTCATTGTCAATAAGTGTTTTACTTTTATTGTACGCAGGTGATATTTTTATTGTTGTTAACTTTTCTCCAATTTACATGTACCCCCTTTTGTAATTTTTTTTAAAATAAGGCAT